CACCGAATGATGGTGCACCTGTGCACAACCCCCAATAAGAAGGATGCTGGTTCAGGTTCAGGGTTCCAGCTGGAAGACAAAGGAGGTGTATGTCCAGGAGTCAGGAGGACTCCATCCTGGAACCAGCCTGTGTGGCTAGTCTGCTGGATGCAGCCTGTGTGGGAGAGGTTTAAAGTAATAACCTGAAGTCGGTGAGACTTGGAAACACGTTATATACGGATATGAAGGTGGAATTCTCATTTTATAAAATGTAGCAAGCTAAAGTTGGCACTGAGACAAACATCCCCCAGTAAACCGGGTATACATGTATTATGCAATCAATATTGCACACAATTTGGTGATTGAATGTGCAGCAATTGGGTGCACACTCTGGCCACAGATGGTTGTTGGATGATGAGATGGTTGTTGGGTCATTAGATGGTTGATGGATGATTAGATGGTTGTTGGATCAGAAGACGATTGCTAGATCAGTAGGTGGTTGCTTGGATCAGTAGATGGTTGCTGGATCAGTAGGTGGTTGCTTGGATCTGTAGATGGTTGCTGGATCAGTAGGTGGTTGCTTGGATCAGTAGGTGGTTGCTTGGATCAGTAGATGGTTGCTGGTTCAGTAGGTGGTTGCTTGGATCTGTAGATAGTTGCTGGATCAGTAGGTGGTTGCTTGGATCTGTAGATGGTTGCTGGATCAGTGGGTGGTTGCTGGATCAGTAGGTGGTTGCTTGGATCTGTAGATAGTTGCTGGATCAGTAGGTGGTTGCTTGGATCTGTAGATGATGGTTGCTGGATCAGTAGGTGGTTGCTGGATCAGTAGATGGTTGCTGGATCATTAGATGGTTGCTGGATCATCATTTTCGCTGTTGGAGATGAAGGTGCTTATAACTAACCAGCATGCATGTTCCTGTGCCCTATAGAGCCTTAATCTTACCTTTCGTAGAACATTTTTTGAAATGCAGAATATTTCCAGCCCAGTCAATAAGCTTTACCCATGGTGACACCTACATAGGATAATATACCCGAGAGGTAACTAATCTCTATAACAGCACAATTATCAGATGACTTATCTTATGTTCATATACAGTCAGAAGAGACGTAAATAAGAAGGCCTTTCACCATACACAACATAACATCCAAGGCACACCACAGAGTTCAATACTCATTTATTTTATTACAAAGAGATTTTGTTTTATTCCACAAGTTAAAAAGGAATTCTGTATAAAACTTGGCACTTGTGAACTGGTAGCACGGAGGGAGACATCCGGTACATAGCAGAGCCTCCCGTCATGCCCAATATCCACCCTGTATACAATAAATCCTCACAAACAAATCCCCCCTCCCCAGTCCCACCCCCAAAATAGGCTTTTTAAATACATAAAGAATTAAGCAAGAATGCTGGTTTTCTGGATTACAATAAATAAGGGTGTGTAATACACAGAGAAGAGACATCATCCATGACAGTCAAGGTGTTGCGGAGGATAAAGCCAATATATTGCAGAATTCAAAGTTCTTGTGTTAGCGCGACCGTACTTGTCACACCGCCGGAGCATTGTGGTAAGGGCAACATGCTGGGGACTGACCCCTCCTGATAAGATGAAAATTGAGGGATCACAAGGACAGATGCTCTGCGAATGTGATGGAAGAACAGTGACAATAAGAGGTCATCGGTACAACAAGGTGCCTAGTGTAAAAAAATACGGACAGGAAATGAAGGACGTTTCTCCGGTGGGGGATAATACTGACATTACTAACAACGTTAGTCAACATTACACCCTTCATTCAGATAATACTGACACTGGAAGTTTTTTCTCTTCTAAATATAATACTGACATCGTAAGAGCAATCAGCAGCATCTTCGTACAAAGTGCCTGCAAGGACGATCTTCTACGCTACAGATAACAAGAAGGAGTGGCTCCGGCTACAAGTGCATTGTGAGATTTGACAGCTGTCTTCTAACGCTAGCTGACAAAGATGCCGCCAAAAGTGCATCGTGGGGGATATTTTACGCCTTGAATGTGTAGGTTTTCATAACAACATCACAGTGCTGTGTGGCAGTTATACATCTTCTATCACTAACGAGCAAAGGTAAAACTTTACAGGTAAATTTCAGCTGAAAAAATGAGGTGCGATCTTGCAGGGCTGTCTCTAAGTGACAACCCTACAGGGGCATTATGGGAATGGCACTGGAGTCCTATACATAGGGCCTGTGGTATGAGGGAAGGTTCCCTCAACGTCACCTTGTGAGAGAGATGGAATGGGATTTGGCAGCTGAAGTTTATTAGGAGATAAGAAAGGGTTAGGCATGGGAAATGGGTAAGCTTTGTGGCTGAAGCTATACTTGTAGGTTTAGGGTATGGAGCAGAATTTGAATTAGGCTTGGAACAAGGGTAAATATTAGAATGGGAGCCAGGGTAGGTATGAGAGTTGTAGTTAGGGTAAGTATATGGGTAGCTGTTAAGGAAACTTGAGCTGGGGTTACAGCGGGAGTTGGGCTGGGTACGTTTTAGCATTGCAGAAAGGGTAGGTGTAAGAGTTGGAGGTAAGGGAAGCGTTAGGACTAGGTATGGGTTTAGGATAAGGGTACTTGGTAGCATAAGTGTTGGGAGAGTATCCAAGGTTAGAGTCAAGAGTTTACATCAATGCAATAAGGAGAAGAGATATAAACATTAATGCACAGAAACAAACATGGAACCTCAGAGGAGACACGCAGGACAGACACATAACGGATGTGACTTCTTGAGGAAGTGTTACCCCCATTCCTACACACCAAATCATCACACTCCAAACCAGGAGATAAGTACCGTATAACATAATACAGAGGAGGCATATCTTCCCCATTGCAGAACACTACAGGAAAAGCGTAGAGCAGTATATAGGGATATGTCTACCTCCTCCAAGACCATAAGTACCGCTGTACCATATGGAGTAATTCGACAGAAATACAGACATGACCACACATCACATACATCACAAAATCTCAGGGGGGAACTTATTGCTGAATATGAGGGATCATCTTTACCTGCCTCACTGAACTTCGGAGGTACATAGGTTCTGGGATAAGATCTTTGGCCCTTCAATATGCTCACATATTGTTATTCCCTTTTTTTCAAAGGAGAACTAAAGATAAGAATACAGTACAACATGAAACACCGCCATTCAGTGTATCAGTCAGTTGGAGCTGCCAGGAACGTTTGGCAAAAGTACTAAGTGGAACAAATCTGTTTCCATGACATCAGAACGATAAGGTTTAAAAGTTGTCAGATGAAAGCTCTGTATGTGGCCAGGAGTGGTGAAAAAAATAAATATGATCTAAATCTGTGATATGTCAATTCTATAATAACGTGCAAAAAAAATGGACGTGTGACTGGAACCACCAGGTTCACCGAGTAGAGTGGGATACTGCAACTCAGCCATTGCCTGGAACAACAGAAGCTGGAGAAAAGATGTAGAGTGGACAATAAACAATCAAACTTTTATTATATAGTGACCCTGGCAGAAGTAGAGTAAAGGTTCCCAGTATGAAGCAGCTCTGTATGTCGTGTACTGCCAAGTGTTGGCTACATCAAAATCGGAACACTTGACTGACGGGGCCTTATCTAGGAGGCACTATCTGGTGAACAGCAGGAACTTCTTGTATCATGTTAGATAATTACTGACTGAAAAGGGAATATAGGTCTCATCTTTATTTTCACTTCCCTGCTATGATTATCCTTTATGGCCATGGATTGTTTTCCACTTAAATACAACTAATAAGCTTTATTTTATGATTGTTTCAGTTCTCCTTTAAAAAAATTGGGGGCCTCGGTCTAGATTAAGTCAAGGTCAAAGGTTTAACCATCATTTTTTTTCATGTTTTCACATGTTCCATGGCAAACGACAAGACTGGATCATGTATTACGGGACCGTCATGCAGACCAAATCACAAGGTTCATGATTAGCATCCAAAATTCCATGACAATCTACATACCTACTAAACTAGATTGTGGTCCTAATGATTACCTTTCTGAATGGTCACCTAGTCCTATATTACCTTTCATCTGTGATTAACTTCCTACGTAGATCACCTTTTCCGTCATTATCTTTATGGCCAGGTCCGGTATTCCATGATCGGCTGACTTGGTCTCATGTTTCTTGACAACGTTCCGGACTAAGTCATTCACCTGTTGGCTACTTTCTAATATATATACTTTTTATGTTGTATACCTCATCGCACCCTGAAGATATTATAGATAGCTATTATGCACTGCAGTGTAAATTTGATTTGTACCAATTTTTATTACATATTTCCCTTTTAAAGGTCAATTTTTTAAGGTGAAATGTTCAATATACAAAGGAGCGTACAGGGCCTCTGTACTAAGAAATATTGGTGTGCTTTAATAACTGTATATAATCTTCTCCATACCTATAATTGATTATGCCAACATTTGACCCTATATAGACAACCTGCATTCTCTTTCTTCTAAACTTTCAATAAACATCATGCATATAATAATAGCATGATGTCTGCTGCATAGGAATGTCATCAGATTATCAGACTTTATCTGCATGCATCCCTGAATCCGTTTGTTGCTTTGGTCACATGGATCCTGTAGGAAAACCCAGTCACATGACCCTAACATGGAAAGCTGCCTAGGAACATGATCTTGTGCACGAGCACAGTCTAGTTTATGTAATTCCTGTAGAGGGACTTGGAAGTAGACCTTAACCCTTTACAGATTCCAAAAAGCTGGTGTGCAGGTCCTGCCTGGTATATATGAAATAGGGGGGAAAAAAGTAGCTGCCGTACTGTGAGCAGGACTGCATGTAGGTCAGCGGTACAGCTGAAAAATACATTAAGAGGAGCATTGTTCCCAAAATTGTCCACTTCTAATTGTCTCACTGGATGCTGCACCGGTCATATAAGGCTACCTACCCCTGGTCAACAGAGGGGCAATTGAAAGAAGTCTCATAGAAGAATTACCCATTATTTCAGCCTCAGAAAACAGCTCTGGTCAGAAGAAGGTTTTGCCTAAAACCCTCTTAAAATTGTCTTTTTTGGCTTAATAGCGGGTATATTTATGGTTCTGAATGTTATTGCCTCTTAGAGACTTTCTCGCCATTTCAGACAGGTAATTCCAATTCGATTTCATATGCGTGTCTTCATCCTCTATGTCCACCTGGTGTTGTTAAATTCTTAGTTCCCCATCACCAGCAGGGTCAAGGTTGTGCTCTGTGCTGAGGACAGATGCTGAGGGGCCCTGGGAGATGCCAAATGGGGACACAACAGGAGAACGAGCTGCCAATGGAGACAGAGATGGGGAAAAGCTTGGCGGTATGATTGAAGATAGAGAAGCTTCATTAATAATGGGAGAACGGCGGAGGGAGGAGAAATTAGGGAAGGTTCTGGCCACAGCTGGTTTAGGAGGCACGGTCTTTGCACCTGGATGAGCCACAGATGTGATAAGAGGAGGTGGGTCAATGCGAGGTTGAGGAATGGCTTTGGGCTTTGGCTGGAAGGGTCTTCTTAGAGCAGACTCATCTTTGAGTCGAGCAATCTCCATGAAAACGCTGGCCAGCGGCTGAAATTGAGGACACCAGTTTAGCAAGTAATCCCAGTTGTAGCTGCCACGCAATTCCTCATCACTAGCCACAATGGCTGTCAGAGAACCCTCCACAGATGGCTTGCCATCTTCAGGGAACGTGTAGTCCTTATGGTGCGGCATATTAAGTCCACAGCCCACTCCCATGAAAGCACCTCCTCCCCCACCATCATCACGATACTGACTGGAAGACTTTTTGTTCTTGAACCACTGTCCGCTGTCCATAGAAGGGTCACAGGAAATATCAGACAGTTGATCAGCATCCTGTTGGATACCCGAATCAGGACCTCTTGCAGATATGTGCTCTTGCATAGAAGATGTAATGCTTGCCACACGTGGATACTCATTGATCATACGAATTTCATCATCTTCAGCAGCTTCAGCAGATCCACGTCCACTGGAATGCGAGGGGTCCAGAGACCCTCCTCTCGTGTAAGATCCATCTACAGTGGAAGAATCCATGGGGTAGCCCGGAAGAGTCTGGTGATAAATTCGATCCCCGCTGCTAAGTGCTGATTTATCGTGTCCCATCCTTTGCAAAGTTCCACCTTGTAAACTGTCCATTTGTGCGTCACCCTCTTGACCTTTCTTTTGGATTCCCCGAGACCTGCAGACTACTAGTATTATGGCTACTGCAGCCAGCACCACAACCACTGCCAATGAGGAAGCCACTGACACAATGAGGAGCAAATTCAGGTCAGGTGCCAGACCAAAAGATGTATGTGTAATGTCTACTGTAACCTGTGCTATGGCAACTCTAGAGGATGGCAAGGGACTGTGTGCATGAACATCTAAGGTCATTTCTCTAGTCTCTCTCTTAGAACGTCCAGAACGATGCCTTTGACTATCTACCTTTAAATAAATATGCCCAGTGGTCTCATTGATTCCAAAGTATGGTGATGGTTTAGAAAATGAGTAGAGAACTACCCCATCAGCACCTTCATCTTCATCTGTGGCCTGGACACGACCAATAGTTTGACCTTTGGCAGCTGCTTCTGGCACCTCAAAATTGAAATAGGGCGCTACAAATACAGGGTCGTACTCATCCTCCCCAGTCACTAGGACTTGTACAGTGACTGTAGCAGAAAAGTTGCCAGCGTCGATTGCTTTTATTATCATGCTGAAGGCTTTACTGCGTTCATAATCAAAACTCTGTCGGGAAAGTAGTTCCCCTGAAGTTCTGTTTACAGAGAAAACGTCTTTTCCAATCAGCATTCCGGGTTCTGCTGGTGGTAGTTCAATCACAGTGTACAGCAGCTGGCCAAATATTCCTGTGTCGAGATCGATGGCATGAATGATCGTGAGCAGAGTGTTTGCTGGTTGGTTTTCTCTAATGCTGGTTGTCAGTATCTGTACTGGGAAGTAAGGTTTGTTATCATTGATATCGCGGACTTCTACAGTTAGGGAAACAAGAGCAAAGTTGGCCAGTCCATTCTGGCCATCAAAAGCCAAGATCACAAGAGTGTGCATGGCCTGCCTTTCTCGGTCGAGTTGGCGGACTAGCTTTACTGCTCCAGTTGCCTCGTTGATCTGGAAAAGGTGGCTCTCATCACCGGATGTGATTCTGTAATGCACCATGCCATTGTCACCAGAATCTGAGTCCTGTGCCAAGACCCGAAGCACTTCAGAGCCAACAGGAGCCGCCTCACTGAGGAGAACACTATAATCCGGCCGTGGAAACACAGGAGGGTTGTCATTGACATCCAGTATGGTGATTAACACAGGAACAGAATAGCTACGTTGTGGGATGCCTCGGTCGGAGGCCCCTAGGGTCAAGTTATAGAAGTTAGTGGTCTCAAAGTCTAAAGCATCAGTTAGGATGATTGAGCCTATGTGCTGAAAATGTCCATTCCACAAACGTATTCCACTTTGCACCTGGAACACGTTGCCCACGTCACCGCTTATGATGGTGTAATCCAGTCCAGAATTTTCCAGACTTTGGTCAGCATCAGTGGCCTCAAGGATGAGAATCGTACTGCCCAGAGGAAGGTCCTCGGGCACAGATGTAGTGTACTGCTGCTGTGGGAAGACTGGAGAATGGTCATTCACATCCATCAAAATGATCTGCACAGTAACAATGGAAGCTAGACTTGGAGAGCCGTTATCTCGAGCTTCAACTATGACATCCACTAGCGGCCCCTGTGTTTCCAGCTCCATAGGCTGCGTTGTGAAAAGAGTCCCTGCAAAAAAAAAAGAAACCTGTGGTTACTCATGAGGAAAACTTTAGCAAATATGTGTGTACTGTACACGTTGTGTAACTCACACTATATAACTATAATTATACAGCATTTATAGAGCAACAACAGTTTGCGCAGCTCTTCACAATATAAGAAAGACATTACAATACAATTCAAGACAAATGGTTAGGAGTCCCCTAAATACCTGTCGGTCCTCTCTTTGCTGCTATAGCAGCTTCTAACCTTTTGGAAAAGCTCCACTAGAGACTGATGATCCTCCCTTTGCTGGTATAGCAGCTTCCACCTTTCTGGTAAGGCTACACTAGACGTTATTGGTCTTAATTTTACAGTGTCTACCTGGTGAGACTCTACTACAGGGGTAGCCAAACTCCGGCCCTCCAGCTGTGGTGAAACTACAAATCCCATGATGCATCTCTCTCCGGAAGTCATGTCTAAGGCCGTGAGAATCTTGCAATGCCTCATGGGATTTGTAGTTCCACCACAGCTGGAGGGCCGGAGTTTGGCTGCCCCTGCTCTACTAGATGCTAAGGGTGAGCAAAGGAAACAGCACAGTAGGTGCTGCCTGGTTTGCAGCTTGCTTTGCCTAACTGAAACTTCAGATTCAACTATCCAATAAGGTATAAGTCACTGGGATGAGCCATTCCCATGTGTGTGAAGTTCATCTTGAGCTATTGAGCTCTGTAAAAAGTGGGTTTTACAAGTGAGAGCCTGCAAAATGTAAAAAGGAGTCCTTAAAGGAGAACTATGGGGTCAGGGCTTTTCCCCATAGTTCTCCTTAGGGTAAGGGGAGGACACAAACTAGCGTCCTCCCGTCACCCTAAGCTCAGTATACTGCGAGCCACAGCTCCCTATATACTGAGACGCCGGAGCGGATCCCGACATCGATGTCGAGATCCGCCCAGCTGCGTGAGTGACAGCTGGCTCTGCCTATCTAGAGGCAGAGCCAGCTGTACCCTCCCCCGTCCGTTCCGTCAGTCAGCGCTGGCGGAGGGGGGAATCCAGCCCCTCCCCTGTGACGGCAGAGAGCCGTGACAGGATCGAGAGCTGAGTGAACGCCGGTATATGTTCGCTCACTTCCCGATCTACTGAGCCGACCTGTGACAGTCTCATTGTCACAGGTCGGCTAGAACTATGAGGTGAGTGAAAAGCACTCCCCTCATAGTTCTCCTTTAAGCAGTACATGCAGGCTGAAAAGGAGAATGTAAAAGTATAAAAAAATCCAAAATAATGAAAACCACTAAACATTCTCTATGAAGATAACCTGTCAATGCCGCTTCTCTCCTTCTATGATGCTATTTATGTGACTGCCACGCTGTTGCACTGGCACGACTTCCTTCTGAACTATTGATTAACAAGTATAGAGATAAAAAAAAATTTTAGTTGTCCAAGAGTTTAAAGTGAGCCTGTGTCTAGACTATGAACATGCAGTGAAAGGAATGTATAACAAGCCCACATTCATCCTGAGATTTTTTTCTTCCTTTCACCTCGACCAGGACATTGTACCTTCTTCTCTGTGCCCTGCTCCCTACATGCCATGGAGTTTTCCCTCCATTGTTTAGATTTGGTGCAAGGTGTTCAAGTTTATCTCTCAGCTACGACTTTTTTCAGACTGACTGACTCTTCTTTCGTCATTCCTGAGGGTCCCCATAAGGGACCTCCTGCTTCTCGTTTTACTATGTCTAGGTTGCCTTAGGTAACTCATCGTTCAAACCCATAGATTCCACCTTTTCCTGTCATGGTGGACTCTACACTAAAGTACCCCTTGGGCATTTCAGCATCAGGCATCTGTTTCCCAGATTGCTAGACTGCCAACTGGTTTTCTGTTCACACGTTCTCCAAGTACCAGGTGGATATTCAGTTGTCCCCTAATGCCAGCTTAGGACGGAAGGTCCTTCAGGCAGCTCTCTGATCTGTAAATAGCCCTCAATATTACCCTGGTCTTATGTGGAACTGTTAGCGCTTTGCTGCTGTGTTGCCCACCCCTCCGTTGTACTGCTTTGGGATACCCCAGTTGTCTCAGAATTCCTTCTGACACTGTTTCCCTGAATGAATAAATAAGAAAACAGGATTTTGACTTACCATAAAATAATTTTCACGGAGGCCATTAAAGGAGATCTATGGGATGAGTGATTTCCACTCACCTCATAGTTCTAGCCGACCTGTGACAATGAGACTGTCACAGGTCGGCTCAGTAGATCGGGAAGTGAGCGATCACATACCGGCGTTCGCTCACCTCTCGATCCTGTCACGGCTCTCTGCCCTGACGGGAGGGGCTGGATTCCCCCTTCCCCGGTCCGATCCTCCAGCGCTGACTGGCGGAATGGACGGGGGAGGGGGCGGGTACAGCTGGCTCTGCCTCTAGATAGGCAGAGCCAGCTGTCACTCACGCAGCTGGGCGGATCTCGACATCGTTGTCGGCGTCTCAGTAGCTCGCGGTATACTGAGCTTAGGGTAACGGTAGGACGCTAGTTTGTGTCCTCCCGTTACCCTAAGGAGAACTATGGGGAAAAGCCCTGACCCCATAGTTCTCCTTTTAAGGGACACAGGTTCCATCCCTCTTATTATCACTCCTACTACTGCTTTTGCATTAAATTGAAGCAATATGGGAGTAGGAGGGGTTATAACTGGACCGCTAACAGCATTTTATTTGTCCAATTCTCTTGAAGGCACTAGTTTAACCCACTTGCCTCGTATTCCTTCTGACCCTGTGTCCCTTAATGAAGTCCAAGAAAATTGGACTTTTCTAATTCATCCTTTCCCCTCATCAACATGCTAATTACATTTTAAATAAAACCTTTCTATTTTCATTACATCCCTGATTACAGAGCCAATCATGTCATCACTGGCTCTATGTGCTTCACTCTGTAATCCAGGCAGATAATAGCTGGCAGCAGGGTGGTGTACATGGCTTCCTGAAAACATCGCAGCACCCTGCCTCAGTACACCTCAGAGTAAGTAATTTCAATGCAGGAGAGGAGCCGGTACAACCGTGCAAGACTGAAGGAGAGGCTTTTACTGCTTGTTAAGAATGTGTAAATAATTTGATGTCCATAGTCTGGGAATGCTTTAATTTACTACTTGCTTACTCCATGTGTGTGAGTCAGAGGAATAAAAGTCAGACACAGCCAAGCAACTAGACTATTTCACCGATGATAATGGTACCTAAATTATGCCTTTCTGCTGTTTTTACTGTTAAATTATTATTGTGTCACCAACAATCAACCGCAGGGACTCTGGTAACTGCTGGTAACCAGTCCGCTCCCGGTTACCCGCACACAAAAAAAGAGGGTGAATCTCCCCAGCATGGACACAGACTGTAAAAGAAAACACCTGAGAGGGGGTCTAATCCTTCCATATATTTAAGTCCAACTCTGGGCACAATCAGCTTACTGGATAGTAGAAGATTGCATTTCCTCTAAAGCCACCTGCCTTAAAAGAGAACTATGGGGTAACCTTTTTATCCCATAGTTCTCTTAGGGGTCACGGGAGGACAAATAACATCCTCCCGTGACCCAAAGCTCATTATATGCTGAGAGCGCCACAGCCGGGATGGATCCCAACAATACTGTCGAGATCCACCCAGCTGACTGATTGACAGCGGGCTCTGCCTATCTAGAGGCAGAGCCAGCTGTGCCCAGTGAGCAAGCGACGCTATGTGTTCGCTCACTTCCTGATTCATTGTCACACGTCGGCTCTAACTATGAGGTGAGTGAAAATCACTCACCTCATAGTTCTCCTTTTAATGTACCCTTCATTATTCACCCCGCAAATGTTCTTCTTTACTCATTGAGTAATGTGAGGTTAAGGGAGCGTGCATACCGAGGACACAGTGAGAGTAGGGGAGTGGACACATTGAAAAGATAGTTAGGATGGCAGAGCGTGTGCACTATGGACACATTGAGGTTAGGGGAGCATGTGCACTGAGGACACAGTATGGGTAAGGGAGCGTGCACACTAAGGACACAGTGAGGATAGGGTAGCATGTGCACTGGGGACACAGTGGGGGTAGGGAAGTGTGCATACCGAGACACAGTAAGAGTAGGAGAGTGCACACACTAAGGACACAATGAGGGTAGGGGAGGACACAGGAGGAGCAGGGGAGGAGTGTGCCGCTTAGGGGATAGCTGTGTCAGTGTACGCATGCAAGAAGTGTGAACACAAGGGGGGCTCCATAGGTCCCTGCAAGGGGAAGGAGCCACCCTAAAATAGAGAAGGTGTGGTCGGCACTCAAAGGAAAACTTTTTAAGTTAAAAAAATCAGCACACACTGTGAGTTTTTACATCTGCTACAGATATTGCTAAAAATATATACACTGAGTGGCCGGATTATTATATACACCGAGTGGCCGGATTATTATATACACCGAGTGGCCGGATTATTATATACACCGAGTGGCCAGATTATTATATACACTGAGTGGCCGGATTATTATATACACCGAGTGGCCAGATTATTATATACACTGAGTGGCCGGATTATTATATACACCAGACCATTATAAATAGGGAAGCGGGTTGGCTACCACGACAGTAGAAGTGATTGGGAAGATACGGGGAAACAACGCGATGTAACAGCCTTTGAACGCGGGATGATTGTTGGCGCTCGAAGCCATGGAGCGAGTATCAGCAAAACAGCAGAATTCGTTAAATGTTCAAGAGCAGCTCATTGTTAAAGTGTTTAAAGACCGGACTGTCAGCCGAAAATCTGGGTCTGAACGTGCGAATTGTGGCCGTCAGCGACTAGTCAATGTTAGGGCAGAACGGAGAGTGACAAGACTGGTACAAGACAACAGAAGGGCAACAGTGCCGTGTCAGATTCCTCGCATCACCTCTCATCATCTCGTGGAGTCACCAGGCGGCCCAACGTAGTACTGATGGGGTGGTCATAATAATCTGGCCACTCAGTGTATATTATCCTTTATATCACATAAAACCTTCTCATCATGCAACGTTGACAGTACTCTTTCAGTACTCTTACCATTCTCAGGATGGATGTAGAAAGCTCCACTTCCTGCTGACAGCACTGTGTAGGTGACTCTGCTGTTCTCTCCCGAGTCTCGATCTGTGGCCGAGATGGTGATGAGAGGAGTCCAGGCCTTCGCATGTTCCATGATGGTCACCTAATGTACAAGGTACACGCAGTTATTACAACAGCAATGGCCAAATATCACCACTAGAGGGAGCACTTTACCACCACACTGAAGAGCCAGGAACAACTGCCCAGAGCGACATGCAGTATGTGTACTTATTGGCACAATGTGCTTCTCATTTCTGTTGAGGAATGAATTGAGGGATCTTCCTGCAAAACAAGCATTCCCGCTGAACAGTGAACTCTCATTTTGACTCAATGAGCTGCCTTAGAGGCAGCCACGTGAGACCTGAATTAGAGGCAGCCTTGTAAAGCCTGAGACAGCCCTGTGGGGCCTAAGCCTATGTTCACACCATGTCCGGAGCAGATCTGCAAACGCAGTGCATTTTTGCAGCGATTTTGCTGCGCTCCAGTGCTGGGGGGGGGGGCTTAAAATGGGCCTACAGGTGCAGTCCAGTGCTTTTTATGGTGCAGTCCATGCGTTTTTGATGTGTTTACATGAGTTCCAGACCAGAGAAAACGAGATAAGCTTTTTTTTCTGGTCAGGAAAGGACTGCGTTGGTGTGAACAGAGCCCAGAGATACCCTAAGGATACATTGGGATGCTTTTTTGATCCGGGAACAAACTTTTGTGGTCTGCACATGGTACGGACATGGTTTGAACAAGTCCTTAATCAAAGGCAGCCTTGTGGGACCTAAATCAAAGATAGCCTTGTGGGCTGACTGTTCAGGGAAGACCATTAACCAGCCTGGTTAACCATCACCGAAATGTGGTGAGGAAAGTCTCAGCAGTGCCCAGATGTATCCCCTGCACTCCTTACAGCCTTTAGGACAATACAGTAAATGGTGGTGCTTGCAGTGATGATCACGGATGGCGCCGTGCAATACTAAGTCTTGATGCTCCGTGAATGGACCGCAGACCTTCCACATTTTTGATGCAAATGAAGATCGCCAGCACTCAATGAATACTTGTCAATTCTTGTTTGTATTTATTTGAAAAGGTGCATCACCTGCAAAAACCAACGTTTTAGAGTCTATACAAGGTCCCTTCATCAGGGTGTCACTATGTCACCCTGATGAAGGGACCTTGGGTGGCCCCCGAAACGTTCTTTTTTTGCACGTGACGCACCTTTTCAAATAAATACAAACAAGAATTTACAAGTATTCATTGAGTGCTGGCGATCTTCCTTTGCATCAAAAATGTGGCAGGTCTGCGGTCCATTCACGGAGCATACTCAGGTCATAGATTTTGTGACATTTACCTGATACAGGCTCTGGCGGAACTCCGGGGCGTTATCATTGACATCCTGCAGCAGGAGGCGGAGGTCCGCTCGGCTCTGGTGTTTCCCATCGGAAGTTTGAATAGTTAAGGTGTAAGACGTCCTCTCCTCATAGTCCAGAGGTTCTGTCAGCCATATCTGGCCACCGTAGCGGAAGATGCTGAAGGCTCCCCCAGGAATCCCATCCACGGACAGCACGTACCATAACGGGGGCCCCGAGTCCACGTCATTCGCTGTCACTTGAGCTACCTCAGAGCCAATCACAGCATCTGGAATGGAGAACAAGATGGAAAAACACGATAAGCTGCGAGATATTTCTGAATAAGGCAATACTGCACAGCTTTACCTGTGATAAGGTGTGCATTCCTGTTCAGCCGGCCTACCAGTGTTCCCCGAATACCTGCCGCTGTGTACAGCCAGCACTGGTGACACTTATTCACTAATGCAATGTTGAAGCTTTCCATGTCACCTGCCTGCTCACCGGAATGATTCAACATCGTCACGCTACTGGTGTCCTTCCTGTGGTCTTGCCCCTTGTGCAAGGTACTACACCACTAGCCCAGCTCTCAGCCCCTGAAACATGTTAGATTGACAGCTCTGTGCAGTGCAACAGTGCCTCACTGGCACACAGAGGAGAACCTTCCACTCTCAGCCCCATTTCAACTGGACTTCGAGGTCTTTAAATACATGTCTGTAGCTCCACGTTTATCGAATATATAAAGCCAAAAACATTTTTTTAAAATAGTTTTGATTAGTAGTAGCTTTGCTGTTTGTGTGCTGTTGTGGATAGTCTCCTATAGTGTCCTGGAGACTTTCTTAGACAGCTGTCCCCAGAGCAGATGTCCCTTCTGGAATATTTCTTCTCTATTCTTGTTCTGGTGACAAATGTGACATATTTCCTATCACATTCCGTCCCGGAGACAATGGTCACCAGGACATATACTGGGAGTGAGCCTCTCCAGTAAGCTGACTTACTGACCCTGGGTATTGTTTACCATTCACACATCAAATAATTTTTGGCATTGTGCCGTTTCAATGAAGAAGTACAAATCTTTAAGGCTATAGGTTCACACCTGGGCAATCCGTGACCTCGCGGCAATCATGCAGCAAATCGCCCACCACTGCCAATCGCACTGGCGATGCCATTATTTTCTAATGGCACCCCAGTCACGCCGGCAGATCGTGCAGTTTCCCACTGCGATACCGCCTGTGGGCTAGAAAAGCCGCGTGTCGCAAAAAAAGGTTGCAACCCTATTGAAATCAATGGGGCTGCATGGCAATCGCTGTGGGCAATTGCACGATCGCGCAGTCCCGGGATCACTCGTATCTGAACCGAGCCTTAAAGGAGAACTATGACATGAGTGATTTCCACTCACGTCATAGTTCTAAGCCGACCTGTGACAATAAGACAACTGTCTTTACAGAGGAGGAACATATAAGAACCACTATTCTAATGACCAAAAAAAGTATTTTAAATACCTTATAGTATCAAACAGGTATATAAACTCACGAGTTAGTATACAAACTTGTACAGAGGAGATATGGCCAAGGAACAGGGTATTAACCCCATATCAAAGAACCTTGCCATAGAAGCAAGACAAAGAACAAGTCAGAAAAGAAAGAAGAGGAGAAGCAAGATTGAGAAGAGTGGGAAAGTAGAACAGCAGAAAGAGATACCAGGCATCTTCCTAGGCATTGTGCCTTTTCTGATTACTATTTATCAATAACACCTAAGCCCTGTGTCCCCTTTTCAAGGGGTACCCCGTTTATATTGAATGCAGCCATTGTGCCCTATCTCAATCTGAATGCAGGAGAATCTTACCGCACTCCTTACTGGTATGTCCCCTGCGGTGGGTGCTGTAGTGACTGCGGATGGCGCCGCTACAGATTCAAAGTAGTAAAATATGTAACCAGCACACCGTGGTTAAAAAGAAGTGATCTTTTTATTGATGCACACACATTACAGAGCAATGTGACAAGATGTGCGTGCATCAATAAAACGATCACTGCTTGAAGATTTACCCATGGTGTGCTGGTGACATACTTTACCACGTCAATCTCAATCTGATTGACCTACCGATAAACTAAATACAACACCTCTTGTCTTTTTTTTGTTTAGCTATTAAAACCTGACAGAGGTTTTAACACTTGCACATTTTTTTTAAAGTTTTGTCTTTAGATATACTTCCACTGTGAATACATGTTAATAGGGTTGTTTAGTACTAGGATTAATAGTCAGACTATAACAATCGTTTTCTAGTATTTATAGTGCTGCTAAGTATAGGGGAATACCCAATACTTTATACCCATTTGGGTTGTACCCAACTTCCTAGTATCTATAGGGTTGAGTATTCAGGAGTATATCCTATTGCTATTGGCAAGACTGTGTTAATGGATAAAGAGCACTGCCATTCAAATGTACAATTCTTCTTTGTTAGAGTGCCCTTTGTCTCTATATTTTATGGTTCTTCAATCACAAGTCTGTGATTCTGTCCTGTTTGAAACTTTAAGCATTTCTATTTGCGATTTTGAAGATCCTTTATTACCTTGGTTCTCACATGGTGGGTCTTGACCCAAAAGTGGGTTGCGACCCCGTGTTCAGTGGGTCCCTGCATGCCTTCCACTTTTCTAGGTGAGAGGCTCCTCTGCCTCCCCATAGTGCATCACCATCAGTTCTCACACCATGCAGCAATTCAAAAAATGCTGCCCGGTTCCGAGTCTCAGTTCGAGGTGAGGTGGGCTGGGGGTATGGCTGCTAGGCCTGCTCCATCCATACATGCATTGCCTACAGCTCCCTCGTGTGTCCTGTAGAAGTGCGTGGACCGGAGTGACATCACATTCTGGCTCCCGGCACCTCTACAGGGCACGCAAGGGAGCTGTACCAGCAATGCACATATGGTTGGAGCTCCGTCACAGCACAACAGCCCACTCTGGACCCCAAGCTGAGGACCCACCCCAATTCTCGTAAGGTAAGAAGACTGGGTGGATGTAAAAAAAAAAATTGTTTTTGGGATGCGTAAGTAAGTGTTAGAATGTCTGTGAGTGTGTGAGATTGTGTCAGTGTTTTTTGAGCGCCCATTCACACTAGTACAGTGGGTTAATCACACAGTACTGTGTGATTAACACACTATCACGCAATCGCACCTACCATGCTTTCTGGTGTGAGAGGTGCATTGCCATTCATTTGAATGGCACCCCAAACGTATCTCCCACCCATAGTTCTATTGCCCATATCATAAGAATCATCATCTGGTGTAGAAGTACCTCTGACCTCCTTCTAGCTGCATTAAGCTGTTTTTGTATTCCTGAAAACCAGTTCTGACATAAACACATGCCATGTATTCTGGCCAGCGCATGACAATATTGTTCTGGTGTTGATGAGATGACATTAAGAGATTGGTAGACCTACCTTCAGGAACACTCAGTTCCATCTGAACAGGGATGGTAGGACTGTTATCATTTACATCCATTACCACCAGAGTGAGGGTAGCCGACCCGGTCAGTGGAGGAGACCCCCGATCCGTTGCGGTCACCAGCAACCTGAAATACACCATGAAAATGTTGGCTGATTGAACATCCTGTAATACATGACACCCTAAGAACAGGAGCCACAAGAAACTCAGTGCCATTGACATACAACACATCCTTCTGAACATTAAAAGAAAGACAACCTTGTATTCCAAAACTATAAAGTGGTAGTAGAAACAAATCCTGAGAAACATGCAGGAATTGTAGGACATTCAGTGTTAATGGAGAGGTAGTCAACATATAGGCAGAGTAGGAGTCTAAGATGAGTGAAAAAATGAAACCAGACGATGGAAGAAAAGAGACAGAAAGCAGCGTTAAGACCTTACTCACCGTGCCTCAGACCAGATCTCCCGGTCTAAAATGGCAGCTGTTGTAATGACACCTGACTGGGCATCAATACGAAACAGATCCCTCATGGGCTGCGATGGCTCAAAAGCGTAAATGATCTGACCGTTCATGCCTTGGTCTGGATCTTCAGCGAGAACCTGGAGGACAGAAGAATGCTCTTATCACTTGTGTAAAATCTGACCGTCACCTTATTCTGGCCTCCAGAGCCTTGGTCTCCAACTGGCCCTTGGACAATCAACATCTGCCTTGAGACACGTCATGGCAATGGAACTGAGGTTAATGTGCTACCCGTGTATATATAACATTGCCAAGGTATGACACATACTAGAGCTGTGCTTCTTGGATGAGTGGTAAAACATCTTCAATATAACAGACAAGTCTAGTTGAATGTGAATAACATCTACTAAGTATAACGTGAAGTGGAGAAAGGAGAACCTTCATAGACATATTTAGGAGAATTAAAATAAAAGTTGCTATTTGTCAATTTAAAGATTAGTTTTGTAATCACTAGATGTCACCATCCAACTAGGACTAGAGCTTCCCCTGGAAGATTCCACAACGGGGATAACTCAGAGGCACTTCCTTGTTAATAAGCTTTGCCAAGGGGAGAGGAGAGGTCACAAAATATCTGTGTATTAAGCGGTTGGCTTTTTTTTCCCGGTTGTGAAGTTACCTGTATGATGCGGCTCCCATCTGCTTGAGCCTCCCAGATATGGACTGTGTATTGTGGGAGCTGAAAGCGTGGAGCGTTGTCATTGGCATCCTGCAGCAGGACGTTGACAGTAGTAAAAGCATAATATTGGGCCGTCTCTGCCTGAATCACCAACTTGTGCCGTGGGATGGATTCGTAGTCCAACAGTGCCGGCTGCAGGACTGTAATCTGGCCTGTGGAGGAACGCAGAGTTAGTTCTATATTGGCCAGCTGATGGATGTTGGGATGTTAAAGTGTATGTATGAGCAACAATCCCCCCCAAAAGAAGTATTTCTTATCCAATGAGGGACACAGGATGTCTTTTACTGTCAGGTCATACTACCACCTACAGGATGACTGGACACTGTTAAACAAAACATCAGTACGCCAGCCCAGGTTAATCTATTATTCAACATGCCTCAGTTTTTGCTAGTGTCCTAAGAGGATGGATGGGTTTTCTTCAGCTCTGTCTGCTGTTTCATTCTCTTTCTCCTCTGTTGGTCGAGTCGGCAGGTTTTCAGTGTCACATGTGACAGGTTCCCCTAACATGCAGGGGATTGAATGCACCCAAGGCACCACAGTGCTCCACAGAGCATATACTGTTCATCGTCATTTTTTAAAGAAGGGTCATGTACTTCTTTTCATCCATCGTGGTGCATAGTTAACACAGCGCATGTTAATGTGTTCCATTATTGGACTGCAGCGGAACATTTAAGGGCCCGTTCACACTATGCGTGTTAATTCTGCACTTGATCAATGCCATTCACCGCATGTGCACACTAAGTAGTTTTCTATCAGTCCTGTTCACACTGCTGCCTTCAGGTGGGTTGCAGTGCAGAGAAATGCAGACATGTTTTGACCAGTCACCATCCATTTTCAGTGCATAGGAAAGAATGAAATGTCACTTTGACATTTCAATAAATAAAAAAAAAGTCATTGTGATTCACTGAGAGTGAACTAAAGCTTTCCTATAAGCAAACAGAATGTTCATTCTAGGTGGACTACATGGGTTTTCATTCTAGGTTAGTATTCGGTGTGGAAGCTGAAGGGAGTGTTGCTTTCCTATGGGTTTTATCAGTGTGGTGGGTACCTGTGTTTGGGTTGATGTTAAAGGCTCCGTGTTCATTCCCACTAATGAAGCTGTAGGTGATCTTTCCAGAAGAGCCTCCGTTGTGTGTAGCTCTCACCGTTCCAACCACAGAGCCTGCAGAGGAAAAGAAACAAACAGGCGATGCAACTGCTCTTTATAAAAGTAGCTAAAAACCCTTTCTAACATACGTAAGCTTTAACATGTTAATGTAAACACAATATTCAGGACCTAGGTCCAGCATGGCCTCACTCTCACCTAGTTGGCTGATTTCTGAAAAGCTGATGTCGGTGGAATCTCTCGGGAAACGAGGTCCTCTGGCTGCTTCCTCCCGTAAATGTATGACCAGTACAGCTGTGGTGGAAAGCGGAGGTGCCCCCAGATCTGAGGCTTGTACAAAGACTGTGCGTTCTTTTGGACTCATTGCCTCCAATGGCTCCAGCAGACGGACCTCCCCGGTGTAAGGGTCTACTGAAAACCCACCTTTTGTTGACTGTGGAGCCAACCTGTATAGGATGGAAGCGTTGGCACCTGCGTCCTTGTCTTCTGCTCTTAATGCAGTCATTGTCCGCTTGATTGGAGTGTTACGGGACAGATTAAGAAGGAACGGGCTACGCTGAAATGCCGGGGCATTGTCATTCACATCTCGTACTATGACTGTCACAGATGCCTCTGCGCTACGTGGCCCTGAGGGGTCTGAATCCATTACCCAAGCTATGAATGTGTAAGTAGCTCGGCGCTCACGGTCAAGTTGAACTGCGGTGGTGATCTGTCCAGTTAGTGGATCGATATGGAAGGCTCCCTGAGTACCATTAGACAGATGGAATGTTGTTTGACCATTAGGGCCATGGTCGGAGTCAACGGCTGTCAACTTCAGAACTAAACTGCCCACGGGGGCATCTTCTGAGATCTCCGCGTTGTAAGAGGCCGCTGAGAAGGTGGGGGCATTGTCATTAAGATCCAGGACAGTCACAGTGACAACAGCGGTGGCAGTGAGGGCTGGATTGCCGCCATCTTTGGCTATTACCGTCAGTCGGTAATCTGCTCCAGATTCTCGGTCCAAAGCTCGTGATGTAGAAAGGGCTCCAGATGTAGAATCTAAAGTGAAGTCGCTGGATGGATCTCCATCTGATAAGAAGAGAAACACTTATTATGGCATTATATATTAGATGGAGAATAGAATTATTATTATACAGAATTCATAAAGCGCCCAACAGTTTGCGCAGCGCTTTACAATATAAGGAAGACATTACAATCACAATACAATTCAAGACAAGATGGTAAGGGCTTACAATCTAACAGAATGACATATTGTATGCCTCAGTCCTCCAACACACCACAGATTATACAATGTGACTCTACGGTGCACCAGCTCTACATCATAGCTCTACCTTGGCGATCTGTGAAAATGTCAGGAAAGTGACTCACCAATAAGCCGGTACTGTAGTTGCCCATTGCTGCCGGCATCAAGGTCCCAGGCACGGAGTATGCACAGGGTTGCGGGATCCTGATTTTCAGGCACTTCCAAGAACACATTGTCGTTCTCGAATTTAGGAGCATTGTCATTCTGATCATCTATGGTGATATGCACCCTGGCCTCTGACACCCGTGGTGGGGAACCTCCATCCCTAGCATAGACTGTAACACAAGGAGTGAAACATTGTTAGCAGTTATACAGAGGAGGACCATGAGAGGCATGGAGGTGGGGGGGGGGGGGGGGGGGTCATGTTGGGGGACTGATCATTCACCTGTTAGTTTGTACACGTCCTTCATCTCTCGATCAAATGGCCGCTTGGTAGTCAGAACTCCAGTTTCTGGATCAAGAGAGAATTCGTCCCCAGTCACTCCTCCATATGTGATCTGTCCACCAAGACCTAGGGGCACAAAAGGCATGTGAAGAAGGTATTACCACCTGAGTTAAGATCACAGGATTTTGTTTAGTAAATCATACATGTCCCCCAGGGCAGTACCCGGATCCTCATACATGTCCCCCAGGGCAGTACCCAGATCCCCATACATGCCCCCCAGGGCAGTACCCGGATCCCCATACATGCCCCCCAGGGCAGTACCCGGATCCCCATACATGTCCCCCAGGGCAGTACCCGGATCCCCATACACCTTTTATGGCCAATAACTTGCATATAAGCCTTGAAAATGGGGACATTTGATTTTCTGAGTTCTGGTCCCATAGACTTGCATTGAGATTGAAGTTCGAGTTAGAACTTTTTCCATGTTCTAAAGTTTGATCTCGAACCGAACTCAGGTGTGTTCGGCCCATCACTATTCGGGAGCTCCCGAATGCCATTCGGGTCTGGGAGCCTCAGCTTTAGTAATATATGTTTATGGCTCCCAGACCTGAATGGCATTCAGGAGCTCCCGATTGCAATTTGGAAATTCGGATCCCGAATGCCATTCATAGTTACATAGTATTTGAGGTTGAATAAAGACATATGTCCATCAAGTCCAACCCATTGTGTGTGTGTGTGGGTGTAAAGATCCTCACGTCATCTCGTTTTTAGGAGTACCTGTACCCCTGTATATTACCGTTTCTCAGGAAATCGTCCAAAAGCCTCTTGAATGATTCCAGACTATTAGCTGAAATCACTGCTTGTGGCAACGAGTTCCAGACCCTAACCGCGCGAACTGAGAAGAATCCCCTTCGCCCCTTGTGTTTGAATTTTTTTTCTACCAGTTTTAGGTGGTGTCCTCTAGTACGAATATGCGTTCGTAAACTTATCCAAAACTAATGAAAATTCGGATTTCGTCCAAATCTGAAACTCAAACCGAATTGAATTTCGGATCCGAATACCGAAATAGCAAAATATCCGAACCGAATGTTTCTGCAGCTTACATGTCTACTAAGCATGAGCCATGCTAAGGTTGTAGATTGTTGGTTAGTGAGGTGTTGCACAACTGGAGACCGGTTCTATTATTCTCAACAGCCGCCCAGAGCTGCATTGATACGCAGTGTAGGAAGATAAGAGTAATGTGAATGAATGGCGCCATTCACAAATTTAACAGCTTCACGTTTTTATACGTTTACCAGCATTGTACTTAGAAGCTAGAATCTTTGTTCTTTCTTTAATGTTTATAGAAAACACGTTAACTAGTGTCAGCTGATGTAAATGTATTTGTGGATGGATGCTAGTAAACAAATATTAAAGGATCAGTCCACCCAAAGGCGATATATTTTAATCATAGGCAGAGCTGACTCCGCATTGGACCCCCGGATTCTCTTAGATGTTTCCACCTAGGAATTCTGTGTGTTCCTGGCCATCTTTGTATGTCCTCCAATTTTGTATCTTTCAACTTTCCAACTTTCCAACTTTGTATCTTCCTCCAATGTGCTTCAAAATGCCATGGAATATTACAAGTGTGAAAATGAAGCAAACCCATCCTCAAAATGCACTACCCATTCTTCTATCACAGTTCCCTTCACTCACCGAGATCTCTGTCCACAGCCCGCAATCTCAGCACACTTTTGCCGGCCGATTGGTTTTCTAATATGTTCCCTTCGTATTGTGTTTTCTCAAAGGTGGGCGTTTCATCATTTACATCGAGGATGGAGATGGAAAGCGTCTGTGTGCTGGACAGACGAGGCGAGCCATGGTCTGATGCCACCAAAGTCAGGTTATATCCGGGAGTTTCCTCACGATCTAGGGCTCTCACCACAGACAGGGCTCCTAATCAGAAAGACATCAACAGTATGAACAATTAATAGGACTTCCGCGAGACAGTCAGTGGTTGTCAAGCGCAGCAAAACCCGTGATGATGAGCAGCCTTTCATAACCAGGGTGCTGCAGAACCTGAGGTTGCTAAAGGGTTCCTTGAGTACTGAGCATTGGCGAATTGATCTCCCACTAACCCTGAACACCAACGCAAGGGGCAATTTTCCACAGACCACCAAGGGGTCCCTTTTACACTGGCCGTTAATGTAAGGGGACACAACACAATTTTTTTCATTTTTAGATTATTACTGAACATTTTGTTTTATAAAGCAGGGGGTGATAAAAGGCTGGTGGAGAACCACAAACTAATATAAGTACTCGCATATCAGGAAAATACTACCAGTTATTCAAGGAACATTGAAGTGTATGCATAGCCAAAACGTTTGAGTAATTTTGCTGCAGGTGTCACATGGGGGAGATTTCCCTCCATGTCCTGTCCTGGATATGCATCAGGAAACATAGGAAAATCTCCACCAAAGCGAGGAGAATTCACAAAACAAACTGTCTCCATACAAAACCTTGCCATAAAGAACACCAAGTAACCGGAGTGATGGAGAACACATAGACATCAACTCTTAAAGGAGAACTATGGGGGTCAGTGTTTTTCCCCATAGTTCTCCTTAGGGTAACGGGAGGACACAAACTAGCGTCCTCCTGTTACCCTAAGCTCAGTATACCGCGAGCTACAGCTCCCTATATACTGAGACGCCGCAGCCGGAGCGGATCCCGACTTAGACGACGGGATCCGCCCAGCTGCGTGAGTGACAGCTGGCTCTGTCTATCTAGAGGCAGAGCCAGCTGTACCCGCCCCCTCCCCCGTCCGTTCCGCCAGTCAGCGCTGGCAGATCGGAGCGGGGAGTGGGGAATCCAGCCCCTCCCCCTGTGACGGCAGAGAGCCGTGACAGGATCAGCGTACCCGGTATGTGTTCGCTCACCTCCCGATCTACTGAGCCGACCTGTGACAGTCTCATTGTCACAGGTCGGCTAGAACTATGAGGTGAGTGAAAAGCACTCACCTCATAGTTCTCCTTTAAGCAGGACCACTATTTTATCCCTAAAACATGTCAATTTTTACTTTAAAATAGAACCGTGGCCGGGCTATGGATCGTAAAATATTTGCATATTCTAAACCAGCAGTAAAGAAGTTATCACTGATCTCTGTAGCAGCCGGCAGTGTGGAGTTAAAGCGGACCTTTACACTCAAAGATCAAATTCTACCAAAGCATCCATCTATGTATGATGATTAATAATAACATAGGCTTGTCAGGTGTAAAATTCTGTGATTATGAAATACTTACACTTGCAGAACATTCACTTCCTGCTTTCAAAGGGCAAATTACTTCAGTTTGGCAAAGCAATGCACACTGGGATTGCCTTGTCACCTGCAGAGCATTGCTGGGAAATGTCATCTGTAATCTCACAAGATCTCAGGGAAAGGCATTTTCCTCTCCTGGGATGATGTGCATGGTCACATGTCCTAGTCACATGTCTAATCCTGGAAGTAATAGGAGAGCTAGTATAGTGCCCTTAGTAAACACGCCCACTGTCAGAAGACTTGGGAAGAAAAGAGAAATCAGGAATGCAAAGAATACAAAGCCGGCAATTATCTAGAAGTATGGTGTTTGCAGATTGTAATTAATAAACATTTCTAAAGGTGTGTTTGTTGTTATTTTAAAGATATGGGTAAAGGCTTTAACTCGGACTTAAAGTCTACAGTGGAAGGTACTTTCAATTTGGTTTCAGCTGCTCAGCTCACCCTAATCCATCTCCTAGCAGTGACTTGGTAGCCTGTTAGCCTTCGAATCTTTAGTGTAAACACAAAGAAGGAGGAAAGCAGAGTGCTGAGATCAGACTTGAAAGTCTTCACTGATTCTCTTGTAAACTTTGAAGATGGATTGTTCCACAGTACCTGCTGCTACAGAGGTCAGGGAGGGCTTTGTTCATTTACATTTGCCTAGGGATATGTTACCTGTGTTTGGATGTATCTGGAAACGACCATCCTCATTTCCTCCGGCTATCTGATAACCAACTCTCCCATTCTCTCCTAGGTCTGGATCTTGTGCCACCAGGAAAAGAGCTGTGGATCCAACAGGCAGGTCCTCAGATAACCACATTGTAGCTGGTGTGATGAACCGTGGAGTGTGGTCATTGCGGTCACTGAGAAAAATTCTGGCGGTTACGGAAGTTGACCGACGCTGACTGGCATTCAGTGCCCGATCCGTGGCTTCCACCATGAGTAGGTAAGAAGACACTTTTTCACGATCTAATGGCTTTGCTACACTCAATATCCCGGTCTCTGCATCCAGTCGAAAAGTAGATTCAGCAGCTTCTGGCTCCTGCCGCAGCAAGGAATACCGCACCTGGCTGTTGGGGCCTGGACCATCACGGTCTATAGCTTGGAAGGTAAAAATAGAGGAACCAACCTGGGCATCCTCTGGAATCACCAATGTCAGTGGATCCTCTGGAAACATTGGTGAGTGATCGTTTTTGTCTTGGACTTCAATCTCTATTTGCACTACCCTTGGGGGCAGATACACAGCAGAAACTTCATGGGCTTCCTCAATGCTCACTCGGAGGCTGTGAAGGGGCTGAGACTCAAAGTCCAGTTCTTTTACCAGAAATATGTTGCCAGTACGACCGTCCACCATGAAGTTGCCATGTTGGTCATCCAATAAAGTGTAAATTGCAGAACCGTGGGGAGTTTTAGGGGAAACAGCACCCAGGAGAGACCCAGGCGGTAGTCCTTCCATTGGTGTAAGGAGTAGTACACTGGGGTTGGGTTTTGTAGGGTATCGATTAGTTGGCACCACCTAAAAATGTAAATGTAACTACAGTCAGCGATTATGAATGTAAGCTTGCAAGCAGTTAGATATTCATCAGTGGGTTCAGTACCTGAATACGGACAGTGGCCTCTGAGCTTTTAGCTGGAGATCCAGAGTCTCTAGCCTGGACAGTCATTGTGTAGTGGGATCGCTCTGAGTGGTGTAAAACTGTTGCTGTACGTAGTTCTCCCGTGTGCGAGTGAAGAGTGAACCGCTCTGCCCATGGACCTGGGTAGCACAAAATAAGTAAATTAAACAAGGGGGTAAATAAATATATAGGAGACCCGGGCTGTGAGAGTTGGGGTCATGTAAGCAGACCTGTAACATTTCAGAGAATCGTATATACTTATCTATAGTAGTGCTCATGTGTCCTTGGTCAGTAGTAATAAAGTGGGAGTAATAAAAGACCTCCTCCCCAACAGGCATTGATGTCAATGGAAGTTAATAAAAGACAACCCACCCAAGCAACTGATGTCAGACAGAATAATAAAAGATCCCCCCCCCATCAGGCATTCATGTCAATGGGTCAGTGAGATCATAAACCCCCACGGCGTTGGTGTTCAGAAGTAACTTATCTCCCTGTAGGCATTATGTCCTGTGATATTCTTCTTTGTGACCTCATAAACAGGAGTATGCAGGAACCACTGGGGAGGAGATCACACTCAGTAATGCCTGTAATAGATTGCCAATGCCTGCCATCTGCTCCCACTCTGATCAGCAGTTCACCTGTCATGCAATGGGAAAGACCTGCAGGCAGACCTTCTTATTGTGGGGGCTGGTCTACAGCAACCAGCGGGCCGTAGTGTTAATTCCTATATACTGTATATTAATAGCCAGTTATAGTGTCTTATGTTATGGTCACAGAGGACAGAAATCCTGATCTCTAGCATGGACTTGCGGGGACTTGGGGTAGAACTGCAGCATTATTAAAGAAAACAACAAAATAAGTCCATGTAAAAACTTCATTTTTTAAGAACTAACATTTTTTTACGAGTAATAAAATAGTTTAAACAGAAAACTACCATCAGATCGCCCAAGTCAGTTATCTTTTGGGTGGATGGATTATCCACTGGCTTGTTATATTTCTGAAAAAAATATATATCAAAGCGCTAAAGGTATAACTGATATGAAACTTAGTACGACCAAGTGATATAGTGAAATTAGGGTTTAGGCGGTCTAGCCCTAAACCAAGTGATATGTCTTACATAGGATCATAAAATAAAAAATAAAATTAATAGTACAATTGTGCTGTGGAAAAACAGAAAATGATTGGGACAATAAAAAATTTCAACCACTGTGTAAAGACATCGAATATATAACAATATATAAACGATCCGTGCAAAAAATATATTAAAAAAATTGAAATAAAATGTATATAACACTGTTATATATTATCTGTACTGGTCAGGGGGAGAAAATAGCAGCAGTCAATGAGGTTCCAATTCTGATTGAAGTCCAAATGGTCACCTGACGAAACGCGTCAAAGAGGGTAGACGCCAGATTTGCACACGAGGGTTTTAAAAGTTTGTTCCTGAGCTGCTTGTGCCGGCCGGATTATTTTGCCTGTGTAAGTTACTACTTGTAATAAAGCTAAATGTTTTTGCACGCTACACTATGAGGGCTCTCTCCTTTTTTCATTTTTGAAATATTGCGGGACCACGGCAAGGAGTTTCGTTGACACTGCGCCTGAGACGATCCAGCTTTACTTCTGGGATACAGCCAGCGCTACAAGGGAGAAAAATCAAACACTCACCTTGCAGGGACTGAGAGTAAAAACAACTGGGTCCAAGTTTGAAATCACGATTGCAGGCTCAAGTGTCACTAACTAAAAGCCTTCGATCTAACTCCATTTGGTGAGTACCCACCCAAGAGGGGCTGCGGACCACCGCTACAAAATATATATCACCATCAATATATATCATTAACAACTTCTTTTGTACACGTTTTTTACGTTTATTTTTCGCTGAACATTTTATTTCAATTTTTTTAATATATTTTTTGCACGGATCGTTTATATATTGTTATATATTCGATGCCTTTACACAGTGGTTGAAATTTTTTATTGTCCCAATCATTTTCTGTTTTTCCACAGCACAATTGAATTATTAATTTTATTTTTTCTTTTATGATCCTATGTAAGACATATCACTTGGTTTAGGGCTAGACCGCCTAAACCCTAATTTCACTATATCACTTGGTCGTACTAAGTTTCATATCAGTTATACCTTTAGCGCTTTGATATATATTTTTTTCTCGATTGCTGATAGGATTCTTCTATCCTCTTTTCAGAGCTGCTTTAGGTCTTAATTTATTATATATTTCCACTTTAGTCTCCTTTCCAGAAGCGCGGATTATCTATTTCTCATTGTTATATTTCTGCACTTGTCAATATAAGTCTTTACATCTGACATGCTAGCGGTTCTCATCCTGTTGGAGTTCATGGAGAAGTGCTCCTTCGCAGAAATGATAAAGCTGCATACCTCATGGTAGACTTATCCTACAGAGAGATAAAGCCTGTGGAATCCCATAAAGATCTGTATCCACCCACTAACATCTACTGAACTGGTCACTACTGAGGGATGTATTTTACTTGTACCAGAGATATGTATGTACCTGACAAGCTGTAGATAACCGTTCCATTCTCTCCCTCATCTGAATCCATTGCCAAGACGGATGCCACGAACATACCTGAACTTTTTCCTTCCATTATCTACAGAAAGAGAAGAGACAACAGGATATCGCAATCTGGTTAAGAGAGAAGATACACTCAATTTTTTTGACTCTCTAGAAACATGGTACCCCTTATAACACTAAAGTTTCCTGAATATAATGTTACCCTCCCAACAACATGTTGTTCCCCCATTACCAAGCAGAGCCCTCCCATCATTTTTCTTTTAGCACCTGTATAGGTGTTTCTCTTCCAGATATCGGGTACAAAAACTCAGGACGATTGTCATTCTCATCCAAAACAGAGACATGGATGGTTCCTGTGACACTGCGTGGAGGAGCTCCTCCATCCTGGGCAATGACTAGTAGCTGGTAGGTGGCCTGGTGCTCCCGGTCAAGACTCTTTCTTACAGAAAGTTCTCCTGTATAAAGAGAAGACAGGACATGCACAACAGTTTTCAGAACAGATATTTTGGAGTAAGATGAAGTTGATGGTTGAAGTTTATGTTTGTCATAAAATGTGACTTCATGATCACTTACCAGTATGTGGGTGTATACTGAAGTCAGTTTCTTGAGCTGGAAGTCTGTAAGTAATACGTCCATTTTGACCAGCATCTCTGTCGGAAGCACTGACCCTTCCCACAATTTCCCCTGAGGGCCGATTCTCAGAAATACTCATGAAATACCTCTCTTCGCTAAGGCGAGGTGCATTGTCATTTTCATCTGTAACTCGAACACGTACAGAACAAGTGGCAGTTCGAAGGCCAGAACCCCCAGATGCCAAGACTGCCAGGACATAAACTTCCCTACTTTCACGATCTAAGGCCCCTCGTACATACAGCCACCCAGTTTCTGGCTGCACACTGAACCCTACGGCATCAGCATCTGGTCTCAGCCTATAACGTAGAGGGTTCTCCCCTCCACCAGGGAGCAAAGCTTGCACCTGCACCAGCCGGCTCATTGGAGGGCTACCTTCTCGGACCTCCACACGATAATCAGATGCTCCGCAAGCTGGCTCAGATTCCTGTTCCAGAACAAGGACAGTGATCTCTAATTCAGAAGACAGCTGTGGGAATCCACCATCGAGGGCATTAACACGCAGCTCATAACTTTCTTGTGTCAGGGGCCCAGTGGTTTGGATCTGTCCAGAATTGTCAATACTGAAAGGTCCCTGTGACACCATTTGATAATGAATCTGTCCATTGGCTCCTGTATCGGGGTCTGTTGCTTTAGCAGTAAATATAACAGAGCCAGTAGGTGGGGAACCTTGGAGTCTCAAGGTATGTGAGGAAAAAGCAAAGGTTGGTGGGTTGTCATTGATGTCGGTGATTTTCAGGTTGATCCGGGCGCGGGTATAGGCTGGCGGAGACCCACTACGAGCTTGAACTTCTAGAGTAAGCTCGGCGTCCTGTTCCCGGTCAAGTGGTCGATATGTGGACAATATTCCAGAACGAGGGTCCAGAGAGAAAAGGCCACGAGGGTCACCAAAGGCCAGGGAGTACAGTATCACACTCGAGACACCTGGAAAGAAGAAGAGTCACTCAGTGTGTTGAATGTGAAAGAACCTGTATAGAGTTTTCAATAGAACTAATGCATGCAAATTAATGGGTCGACCTTCTATCACTCCACAAGTACTTTGCTGTTTAATTCTGATATGTGAATTTAAGACCCTGTAGAAGTATTACTGGGGAAGGACAGCAGGGGCTACTGTGCAATGGCCAGAGAAGGCCAGTGGTGGAATATCACTACATATGTGTATATTGGTGAAACTTGGATCAAGCTTTTCTAGATATGTGTCATAAAGAAAACTGGTGTAGCTTGCCCAACTGGGTGTGGTCTGCAATATTTTTTGGATAGAAAGTATTATTGCATACTACGCACCCAGGGTACATATACCCAGATAGCAAGGATAACTTGCTACAAACTTGTGGCAGGGTGAAATTGTAATTTTGTTAACTTGCTGCACATATTCCTGGCAGGTTGTAGACTTACAGAACACTCGCAGCACAAATTCTAGGCGACACTTTTTGAATTAGTAGCAAATTTGCTTGGCAAGTCTACAGCAAGAGTCCTGCAGGTCTTAGCAAGAGCTCTGCAAGCTCGCTGGTCTGGAGACTTGCAATGCAGACTTGCTGTAATTGTGCAACAAAATTGTGAAGCTCGGCAAGTCTGCAATAGTTTAGCAAGTCATTTTTAAACTTGCAGCTCAATTGCTTGCTATCTGGGTATGTGCTTCTGCACACAATTTCTAAAACAATAAATATTCTTAATGATCAGCAGTATATTTGGCCAACAAATTTAGACTCACGGGGTGAACGACATGCTCAAGTGAGCTCAGTGTTTTCCCATCTGTAACTCTTTCTATATCTGAGCTAAAATTATTCAGATACCCCATAATACACTAAACAGTAGCATGCCATTTCCAACCAATAAACAATGGCAGAAGAATGGATCCTATTAAGGAGCTCATGACTGACAACCATACGATGCCACATTTCTGACAAGTCTGTTTGTTGAAATTTTGTCCTACTGCTGCCAAAGCCGTTTGCTGAGATTGTAATGCAAAAACTCGCCAGCCTGTGCAGAGCCTTGACCATAACCCAAGTCAACATCTGTTGGATACATCAAAGCGCCGACTTATACATTATCGCTGGGTGCAAAAATGAGTTCCCAACATCAATAATGCTCTTGTGGTGTTGAATGTTTTAACGTCTAGTGGAGCCTTCCCAAAAGGGTAAGGGCCTCTACATGGGAGGACCAACCACATAATGGAAAACCAGCACTGTTTTTTTTAAAATAAGAGATCAGAACGGCCGTTGTTCAGGTGTTTTTGACCAGATTATACAACAGTTCCTTTTTGTATCACGGGGTCAAAATTCCAGATATTCACCTCCCACATGGACTGTATGGAAAGAACATTTTTTAAATCCTCATTATAACTTCTTCATTGACTCCAACACAGTCAGTGTTCAAATATTTTGCATTACTTGTTGGCCTCATCTAATTTATAGCTGGCGTAATATTTGCTATGTTCAGCAAAGTGAGTGAATGTTCTGCTTCTAGGAAAAGATAAAGGGATTAGAGAAATGTTTTATGCTACCAAGTTAAATCTAATACTTGTCAGTAAACCGGCAGAGAAATTGTGGGCAAATGCAGATGCCAGATAGGTCCAATAACTGCTTAGATACACAGTGCAAAAGGCAAAATAGAAGCATACCTGTTGGGTTGGTGGCTTTCACACTACCCACGCTGGTTCCAGGAGGCGTGTCCTCAGGCACAGTGATGTCATACTGGGGCTGCAGAAAAGTAGGCATGTGGGCAGCGCTGGACAGGATGCTGACATTTACCCGGGCATTCATCTCGGCTCTGACTCCACCTCCATCCTGGGCTCCCACTTCCAGATGTAGGACAGAGCCAGCTCGTGCAGACAGAGCACGAGCCACAATAAGAGTACCTGAAAGAGAGTGACTGTAAGGTTCTGTGCAGAGAGCATCACCATAAGTGTATTAATGCCACCACCACAGATCATACACACAGCGTTCTACCACCACCATAGATCATAGACAAAGTGTACTGCCACCACCATATATCACAGACAGCTACCATCACCACAGATAATAGACAAAATGTACTACCACCACTATATCTTAGACAAAGAGTACTGCTACCGCTATAGAATATAAACAGTGTACTACAACTGCCATAGATTGCAGACGATGTACTTACACCACCATAGATCATACACACTGTGCACTACCACCAACATAGACCATAGACATTGTACCACCACCATAGATCACAGACACAGTGTACTACCACCACCATAGATCATAGTCAGTGGACTACAACTACCATAGATTGCAGACGATGTACTACCACCACCATAGATTATAGACATTGTACCACCACCATAGATCACAGACACAGTGTACTACCACCACCATAGATCACAGACACAGTGTACTACCACCACCATAGATCACAGACACAGTGTACTACCACCACCATAGATTATAGACAGTGTACTACCACCACCATAGATCATAGACAGTGTACTACCACCACCGTAGATCATAGACAGTGTACTACCACCACTATAGATAATAGACAGTGTACTACCACCACCATAGATTATAGACAGTGTACTACAACTACCATAGATCATAGACATTGTAACACCACCATAGATCACAGACCCAGTGTACTACCACCACCATAGATTATAGACAGTGTATTACCACCACCATAGATTATAGACAGTGTACTATCACCACCATAGATCATAGACAGTGTACTATCACCACCATAGATCATAGACTGTGTACTATCACCACCATAGATCATAGACTGTGTACTACCACCACCATAGATCATAGATAGTGTACTACCACCACCATAGATCATAGACAGTGTACTACCACCACCATAGACCATAGACAGTGTACTACCACCACCATAGATTATAGACAGTGTACTATCACCACCATAGATCATAGACTGTGCACTACCACCACCATAGATCATAGACAGTGTACTACCACCACTATAGATAATAGACAGTGTACTACCACCACCATAGATCATAGACAGTGTATTACTACCACCATAGACAGTGTACTTCCACCACCATAGATCATAGACAGTGTACTACCACCACCATAAATCATAGACAGTGTACTACCACCACCATAGATAATAGACAGTGTACTACCACCACCACCATAGATAATAGACGGTGTACTACCACCACCATCATAGATAATAGACAGTGTACTACCACCACCATAGATCATAGACATGGTACTATCACCACCATAGATCATAGACTGTGTACTACCACCACCATAGATCATAGACAGTGTACTACCACCACCATAGATCATAGACAGTGTACTACCACCACTATAGATCATAGACAGTGTTCTACCACCACCATAGATAATAGACTGTGCACTACCACCACTATAGATAATAGACAGCGTACTACCACCACCATAGATTATAGACAGTGTACTACCACCACTATAACTTCTCGGAAGCACTGAGGTGCACCCACCAGGATTACTTTGTTAGCGATGTTGGTAAAAACAATTGTCCATTTGTTTACCAGTTCTTATGTTTTCACACATGCTGTTGGTCCAGAGAGAGAAAAAAGCAAATACTAGTGAGCCAGATTTCTATTATAATGTCCCAACAGTGAAAGTCAATTGCCTAGTTACCTTTTATTCCTAAAATCTAATAATTATAGCTGGATATGACATCAAAAGCAAGAGGAGCCTCCAATTCACTGCTGTATTGAGTCAGACATTACCACTGCCCAATGATAATGGGTTCAGCTGCCTGACAACCTTTACAATAGGGACTTTAGAGACAAACCACCCTATATACAGCAAGTAACCCTTCCCATTCTGATGATGAAACCGTTTTTATTCCTGTCCAGTGCATGTCTCCTTCTCCTTCAACCTTCCACACATTTACCAAAATTGTGGGATGCTTCTCGCTGCAGCCTTCTGTTTTTGTAGAAGTCCCATCTGCCAACACGGCAGAGGTAGTCATCTTTACCGTCAATCCATTGATCTTCCCTGTGCAGCCCTGCACGATGCCACACAGCCTTTCAACACAAAACGTCCTCTTTGTAGAGGGCATGAGTACCGTGGCCCCATTCCTATGGGAAAGTCATACTCTGCTGGACTGCTGGAGGCCGCCATGAGTCATGCTTGCCCACAAAAATGAATGGGGCTGTGGCACACATGTGCACTGAGAGGAGGAACCCAGCAGGGACGTTTTGGTTGAAAAAGCTGTGTGGCTTGGGCAGGGCCACACAGCAAAGATTGCGTAAGTATTTGTCCCGGTGGCCAGCGTTCACTTGACTACAGAACAATTGTTTCATAAATGCAGTTGTCTTTTAAGTAATTGGAAAATTTAAGAGCAACTCCAGCTAACACAATGCAGAACTATGCGAGGACATGGACACCCCTTAGGCACCTCTTATAGTGCGGTCCTAACTCTAAACTATGAGAGTCTCTATCTTGGAGCACATGGGTCAGAAGATAAAATTGGGTGCAGGTCTGTCAGGAGGAAGCCTTCACATTTTCTGCAGAAGACGTGTATCCAAACCTCTGTTTTTAACCTTAGTGGTGAGACAAGTTTTTTTACATGATAGCTTGTGAGTGTGCCAGAAAAACGTTTTGCTGTTTTACTGTTTAAAGCCCATTCCATGTGCACCTTGCTGTAAAGCTGGTGACAAATTGATGAGTGCGTTTGTCATTTGTTTTGCTTGATTGATTTGGTGCAGTGATGCATGGGGGGTCTCAGCTGCCATTGGGATGTGCGGGATCCCTTGTGCATTCCTGTGCCTTTAAGGGAGCTTGGGCTTCCTCCTGACAGACCTGCACCCAATTGTATCTTCTGCCACATGTGCTCCAAGATGGAGACTCTCATAGTTTAGAGTTAAGACCGCACTATAAGAGGTGCCTTGGCGCAGCTGTGCGACTTTCACATTTTCTGCAGAAGACGTGTATCTAAACCTCTGTTTTTAACCTTAGTGGTGAGACAAGTTTTTTTTACATGCTAGCTTGTGAGTGTGCCAGGAAAACGTTTTGCTGTTTAACATGGACACCCCCACACATACACACACATACCGGGAAATGGATAAGTGAGCTGGCTGTCGGAGGAGTGAGGTGTGTTCCTCTACTTGAAACCTCCCCAAAACTGCACAGACAGTTAAGCTTTGCTATTCATTTTTTATGACTGACAGGAGTTTAATCCATATGAACAAAAGCTGGCCACTGTCCCATACCTTGGGAATGAAATATGGTTTGTTCAAAACCCTACAACATTCGTTTTTGTTGAACAGCTTGGCGTATTACAGGACGTGGAAAAATAACATATCTACTGGCAAGATCAATGAGGAGTAAAACTGTTCCTGTTCGCTATCACATACTGTATGTCATTTTGATTTTCCCCAATACTTACACTACGAGCTCTGCAGGACAGCCACCAGAGGGAGCTCTGTATCTGATAGACTAGCACTGTGAGAAGGAGCAGTGACGCACAATCATTGCATAGCACTGCACGGCAGGAAGCACAGCCTGAGTATGTAGTGAGCAAATACGGGCCGCCTCCATGTACATATGTAATTACAAATTATTTATAGACACAAGTTTATTAAAACAAAACTCCTGATAATATCTGTTTACGTCAAACTGATTTACTTATTATATATAGCCAATATAATATTTACAGACTAACAGGGCTATTCACAAAAGGGTGAAGAGTTTGGAGAAGGCCGGAGAAGTGAACAATCTAGGGGCCAAAATAGCTGATTTGGGAAAATTCTCCAGTTCTGCTCACTTTCCAGTTCAGCTATGTTGTCCTAGATTGTTCACTTCTCTGGCCTTCTCCAAATCCTTCACCCTCCTGTGAATAACCCTGTATGTGTTCCATGTAATGATATATAAGGACCTCCTTAAATACCTTTTTTTTTTAATGAAGGCGGCCACCTTCAAATCTTTTTAGCTTTGAGCGTACACTGTGAGAGTGAGACATTTCTGTACAGGAACCATCTCTGATTTTTTTTTTAGGCTGGCCATACACCTATTAATTTCTTTCATTCAACCCGCAGGCTGAACGGAAGAAATTGACCAGATTCCTCCATCAACACAGACAGCGTGTCGTTCGAGGAATGGCCGCATGTTTGCATTGTATTCTGACAGGTGCTACCAGCACCTGTCAACATACTCGATCAGAGCGGGCAGCTCATTGGCTGCCGGCTCTGATCACATGGAGATTTTGCAGCCAATCAGCTGTTCGAGGAATGCCGGCTGAAAGGGAGCCGACAGCCCCATACAGTGGGTGAATTTCGGCCAGTACATTAAGAAACTGGCCAAAATTCGGCCAGTGTATGGGCACCTTTAGGTTGCACTCTATATAAGGAGGGGTCCTAAACCCTACTATGATCTAACCGTGGACATATGATGGTCATGTCATGTTGACATCATATGTTCGTTCTTCCATTCCCAGTAAGGACCACATTTTATCAGAAACCATGCCCAATTTGCACATGGCAGCAATATGTCCAAATAACAATACCATATCACAATATATTTTACTATGACTTATGAGCTCAGTATTTTTACACAAATGTGTAAATTTGTGTAAATGATTGTAAGGGGCAACCCTTCTAACCTGTATCGGGTTGTATGCGTAGAAGTGCGTGGTTATTCCCTGATATGATATGGTAGGTAATGATGCCATGGATTCCTTCATCTTTATCGCGAGCAGTCACACTCAGTATGGAAGTTCCTGGTGGGCTGAGCGCGCCTACACTGCCACCATATTCCAGAGGATAGAAGATTGGACGGTTATCATTCACATCTTCTACGGAAACCCTCACAAGACATCCGGAACTCAGACCACCCTGCAAGGAACAAGAAGAATCTCACATATGCTCTAAGAGATTTATACACCCTGTCCATTTCTTATATTCACGCACTGCCCCACCACTTTTCACAACAACGTCAGGTTTACGCCCTACCATTTATCCAGTAATATTGATGTTTCTTTGATGTGGGCCCAGTGAAGAATGGCTCTTATCTCTGAATCCAAAGATGGACCATAAATGGAAGCGACGTGACTACTTCCAGCTTTGCTTACAATGCTCTAGCTGCAGAAAGGGGCAGTAGCTAGTGCTTCTAAAAAAGCAATTGTTAGCTTCCAACTTTTCGTAAAATTTATTTGTGAGCAGTAGGCAATGGTTCCTGTATCGTGACGGAATGGAAACAAAGGTTTTACTGCATGTCCATCCGCCAAATCTGGTCACAGCAGGGGCCGATGATTACATAGGTGTGGGGAAGGTTTCTTAACCTGAGTACTGCTCAGTACTGTTTGGTATGGTGTTGGTAGGAAATGTTGTTTTGTAATTGAAATTCTTTTGATCTTTGTGTTTAATTTTGGCAAACTGGGTTTGGTCTGAAGCTCTTTTAAGACCTCTGGAGTATGTTTCTATCATGTATTTATTTATTTATTCTTTCACTGTTTTTTTTTTTTGTAATTTTGTATAAAATGAATAAGCTGCGTGTTTGAAGATTCTCAAATAAACAAAATTAGCAGGGGCCCCCGATGATCTGTCATGAAAGAATCTGCAAATGTGTCACCATACATGGTTCTCAGCGAGATGTACGCCCGACTAGGATCACCCAAAGTGTAATGGATCTAAAATTGGCTTCTAATACTGATAAATTCCAAAGTAGTAGCAGATCATTAAATACCATTCTTGGCTAACTGCTTTTATAGCTACGTTTGTTGGATTGATTCACCAAAATGACACTTGATCCATTCCCAGACCACCCTTTAGTGGGACTGATTATATTTCTGAAATGTTCTGGTTCTTAGGACTAATCGACCTATACTCTTCATCTAGAAACGGGTGGTGGTAGATATAGGACATGGATCTGTGCACTGATGGATCTGTTATTTGCATCCTTGGTTTCACTAATCTATAGAGGCCCAAATGGGAACTCTTGGCCTTTTTGAGGATATTTGGCCTCTCTGAGAGTATTGATGGGCCCATGTGAGCTTCTGTTGGTTTTCCAGCTGTCCCTCTGGGTCCAAAGACAAGTATCTATAATATGAATACTAGGGTCTTGTTCTCTGACTTTATAAACATAAGGATCCATTTTCTAGTTCAAAAGATTGATGAAGATCCCCATACTGATGACTCTGTGGACATTATCTATAAAATGTATCCCATGAATGAACATTACATACAGGTGAAACTCGAATAATTAGAATATCGTGCAAAGTTCATTTATTTCACTAATGCAACTTAAAAGGTGAAACTAATATATGAGAGAGACTCATTACATGCAAAGCAAGATAATTCAAGCCGTGATTTGTCATCATTGTGATGATTATGGCTTACAGCTCATGAAAACCCCAAGAACCCCAAATCCACAACCTCAAAAAAGTAGATTATTACATGCAATCAATAAAACAAGGATTGTACATAGAACAATATCGGACCTCTGAAAAGTAGAAGCATGCATATGTACTCAGTACTTGGTTTGGGCCCCTTTTGCAGCAATTACTGCCATTACTTTTGCACGATATTCTAATTATTCGAGTTTCACCTGTATATGCTGGGACCAATTCATATTTTGCTCTGGTTTCTAGACCTGATGGGCTCACTCTCTGGTTAACAGAGCTAAAGGGATGAGTTACCGGATTTAATGACTGTATTCTTTATAGAGGAAACATAAACCAGATTTAAAAATACACAAATGAATGCAACTCTATAGTCAATAATACAATATTAGATGTATTTTTTTTTAATGCAATGAGTGTAAGTACCTGAATTTGACCTGATATCATACTCTTTCAGTTACTGTACAGAAGAGCTTAGACTATGGGAGGGAGAAACAGCACAGGGAGCCAGTAAGTCGTATCGCAGTGCTCATGGGACATCGGGATAGGAGGAGAGAGAAGACCTAATCAGTGTGCTTCTTCTCCTTTCACTGTCCACTGAAAGGCTGGGTGACAAACAAGACCTGCAGCAGGAAAGTGTTGGGACTCCAGCCCTGCCGGACAGGATTGAGCTCAGATTTAAAACAATGTATCCTTACTCTTCTCTCCTATTATTCCTCCATATATTGGTTTTATCCTCTTCTCCCACCCAGGCCCTCTTACCCCATCTGTGGCCGTCACATGAAGCAGGAAGAACCTTTCTCCATCGTCTCGATCCAGAATGTCTGAGAGGCAGATCTCTCCGCTGTCCGAGTGGATCTGAAACTGAGGTGGGGACTCCGGGCTTAGGGAGTATGATACGGTTCCAAGACTGCCACTATCTGCATCCGATGCCGAGACCTAGGAGGACAGAGACACAATGACTTTCATCTTCACATAAGGATCTCAGACACAATTTACAGACAAATAAAAAGGTCCTTTGACTGCAGTGCAAAATATTTCCACACCCGCCAGGATGAACTCTCCTGCCGAAATCTAGGAGCCATTCTGTGCCGTAAGAATTGGCCTGCCACTTATATGCCCCCCTAAACATCATCTTCCCTGGATGTGCCATAATAAAAGCTTGGCTTCGATTCTTCCTCAAACCAGATGTTCGTTATTACTGGTGAGACAAGTTGTTTTACATGCTGGTTTGTGAGTGTGCCATGATGCCTTTCTACTGTTTTACTGTTCAAAGCCCATTTCGTGTGCACCTTACTGTATAACTGGTGACAAGTTGTTGAGTGCGTTTGTCGTTTGTTTTGCTTGACCGATTTGGTGCAGCGACGCATGGGGTTTCTCAGCTGCCATTGGGATGTGCGGGATCCCTTGTGTGTTTCTGTGCTTTTAAGGAGGCTGGGCGTCCTCCTGACAAACCTGCACCCAATTTGAAATCTTCTGCCCCCATGTGCTCCAAGATGGAGACTCTCATAGTTTAGAGTTAGGACCGCAGTATAAGAGGTGCCTTGGCGCAGCAGTGCGGCTTTCACATTTTCTGCAGAAGACGTGTATCCAAACCTCTGTTATTAACCTCAGTGGTGAGACAAGTTGTTTTACATGCTGGTTTGTGAGTGTGCCATGATGCCTTTCTACTGTTTTGCTTGACCGTTATTACTGACTGACTTACTAATGTAAACCACTGTAGTTGGAAAATAAAGCAACGACGCTTCATTGTCAGGTGACACACATGTTGCGAGTGATTGGAGGAGTCTGTCTGAATCTGAAGAAGGGACCACACGTTTCCGAAAGGTCACTTTACAATGTGACACAACTATGGTCAATAAAACATTGACTGAGAATCAAGTTGGAGTGCAAATGACCTTCTACTACATATCCATTGATTTGCAGAGGCATCTGCAGTCACTTCAGCACCCACCCGACATCTGAGGGTTTTTTCGGGTCAGGAGTGCGATGGGACTTACTATGTTTTGTGTCTGAATCTGACCAAACACTGATAGATTTTCACATGAACGTTCATAAGAAAAATGTGGTCTAAACATTTGATAATGGCTTCAGAAACGTGACGAATGTCATTCGAAATTTCAACATTCGATTTTGGAAATGAATGCAGTTTCCCATAAGAATACCACAATCACTGTTACAATTTCATGAGTTTGAGAAAAACTCCCCCCCCCCCCCCCT